CTGCTGCTGCCCCTGCTGCCCAACGCTTGAGGGGCTGCCTGAAGGGTATGGCTGCTGGTGGTGAAGCTGCATGTGCTGCCCCTGCACGGGCATGTGATGAAGGCCGCCCTGCTGCTGCTGCTGCTGGTGGGCCACGCTTGAGGACGACATTGAGGGGTGAGTGTGTTGCTCGTCCAGGCGATAGAATCCACCAGAGGCGTCGATGCCGAGGGTGGGCCGTCCATCCTCAAATGCGCTCTCGGGGCTGTCAAACAGGGCAGTGATGGTGTCCTCGCTGCCAGTGGACGGGTTGCTGGCGCTTGTGGAGGAGGAGAGCCTGCTGCGCATGGGGGACATGGCAAAGTGGGCACTGACGCTGTTGAAGTCCGAGTCCATGGTGTCCAGGCCGACGCTTTCGGTGGACTGCACGCGCTGGAGCGAAAGCTCGGTCTGAGCCGAATCAGGAGGCAGCATGGAGAAGTTGCTATCAAAGAGGTGCGTGCGGCGGTCGTCGAACTCCTCGTCGAGGGAATCCAGCAAGGGGTCCGAGCCGTCCATGTTGAGGTCCGAGGGGAAGACGGAGATGTAGTCGTCTGGAATTGGTGACGTGGGGGGATGGTCAACTTGAGTCCCAGGCGAGGTAGCACCACTGGAGGAAGCGCTGGACGAGCTGCTGCTGGTGCCGCTGCCGGGGCTTGAGCCAACGCTGTTGGGAGAAGTGTTGCCTGAGGCAGTGGACGTGCTGGTACCACTGCTAGCGCTGCTGGCACTGGCACTGGCGCTGCTTGAAAAATACTGATTCGGGTGCTGGTGCTGCTGCTGAAGGGTGGTCATGTAGGATGGCTGGTAAGGCGAAACGCCCGGTGAGGCGCTGTAACGACGCGTGCGGTCTGGGTACATCCCTGGGGCACCCACCCGATGGCTCTGGGAGCGCTGGTCGTAAGGCTTGGTGGACGGGATGCTGTTGCGTGCCATCCAGGGCGCATGCATCGCGGCCGAGTAAGAGGGACCGCTCGTGCCGCGCAGAGTCGGGGACTGGTGGGTGGTAGCTGCGCTGCTTGTCGTGGATGAAGGCTGCCGCATGTACATGGGCGGATTATCCATGGGAGGACTGGGGTACGTGAAGGAGCTTGTGGCGTGGCTCGAGGGGGAGCTTGAGGTTGAGCCGTAGCTCACGCTTGGTGCAGACGGCATGTCCAGCACAAGAGTGTTGCCGGGGTCGATGAGTGACTCACTGTTATGGTCGGGCAGGGTCAGGCCAGGACTGTCTTCAAGGCGCGCGACAGGCCTGCGGTAGCGAAGGGAGGTATGGTGGTCATCGTTGTCACCGAGCTTCTTCAGGTGGGCACGCTTCGATTCAAGGGCGGCGTGATCCTCGTTGGAGTCGCCAACCGCGTCCGGAGCGGTGACATCGTCGATGCTTGGGTAAAGTGTCTCATCAATGGGAGGATGGGCCATGCTTTGGCCTAATGTGTTTGGAGGAAACAGGAAGCAACAAACAAATGGGTGAGTTGGATTGGATGGATGGAAGAGTTGGATTGGATTGGATTGGATGGATGCTGGCATTACACCGTAACACAGCCAAAAGCAACAGCGACTGGTGCACAACATGTATGCAAAGAGGTGGGGGGCGAACGAATCAAGCCAAATCACACACACACACACACTGGGTGCGTGTGACGATCGGTGGTGGTGATTGTTTGTGTGTTTTGTGGGTGCCCAAACAACAAGGCCTCTGAACAAAGCATCATCATCATCGTGACCGACCGAGCCACGCAATGCAACTTGATCACTGCAACCACGTGGGTGATCGAGTGCCAACCTACCGAACAGGATGGGGTTTGCGTCTTGGATGTCCATGGTGAAAGGAAGGCAGGGGGGAAGGCGGCGCAGTTGTTGTTGCTGTTGCGGCTGCGGCTGCGCGAGAAAGAGAGAGAGAGAGCTGCAAAAGGGGGGGGGGAGCCTTCAGTTGGTGTTGTAGTCGCTGGTGCGCTGCTCTCTGGTGGTGGGTGCCTTGCCTCGCTGGCCCTTCGTCTGCCGACCTTCTGTTGTGGAAGCCACCAGGACGGTGTGGAAAAAGGCATGGGCAGCGCTCACTTCGCCACTTTGTTCCCGCTTTCTGGCTGTGCGCTGCGGCCTGAGCTGGAGGAAGAGGAGGAACAAGGTGGGGCTTTCTTTTTTTCTTCTTCTTTTTGCGCTTCTTGCGCGCTTGGTTTGCCTGTGCGCTGTGGGGGCTTTTGGCTGCTGTGCGAGCGAAGAATACTGACCCTGGAATGCCGCACAAACCAAGCCAAAACTAATAAATCGCGCAATACAGACCCAAGAGTTACCGAAAGAAATCTGCGAATGGGAGAAATTTGCGAATAGAAAATTAGGTCTTTCGCTCCAACGCAACCTGTGAATGATGTCATCGAAAGAATAAACAAGCCTGACTTGACTTTTGACCTAAAGTGCTGACTTCGTGACCATCAGCAATCCTGCTTCGATGACGACAGCGACGCCCAAAAGCATCGCAAAAACGTCACGAATGCGTGGCGATGGACTCGATGTTTGGGCCGCAAGGGATGCCTTGCGCTTGGGTAGTACGCTTTGTGGGGAGGACCTGCCTTTATGGAATCGTGGTGTTGCGTGGTTTATCTGTGTTTGTGTTGTTGTTGTTTTGTGTGTGTTGTTGTTGTTTTGTGTGTGTTGTTGGTGTTGCGTGGTCTGGGTTTTGTGGTTGTGTGTGTGTGTGTGTGTGTGTGTGATGCGTTTGTTTGTTTGTTTGTGTTTGTGTGTGTGTGTGTGTGTTTGTTTGTTTGTTTGTTTGTGTTTTGTGTGTGTGTGTGTGTGTTTGTGTGTTTGTTGTGTGTGGCGTTCGCTTTGTGCCCATACGACTTGGTTTTGTTTCTCTCGCCCCCGCGATGCACCTGTTTTCAGCTGGGTCGCTTCTTGTAATCAGTGCAGAAGGGCCGCTCGTTCGTTGTGTAACAACAACAACAACACCAACACCACGAGCGCGGGGCTGTTGTCTCGACGGTGTGTAACAACCCACTGCACCCGTGCGCGTGCGCGTGCATATGTGTGTGTGTGTGACATGACAACAACATGGTGGACAATCCAGCAGAAAGGAAGCGTAACCAAACACGGGAGAAAAGAAAAAAAAAAGCCATGGAAGCGGGCCATGTGAGGGTGGCGCAGCACACAGCCAACGCACCCACTCTTGCCAGCAACGACAATGTCGTCACTGTGACAGACAAAGGAGCAAGAGAGCAAGAGAGCAAGAGAGCAAGAGAGCAAGAGAGCAAGAGCGCAATTAAGATCGAAAGGAAGGAAAGGAAGGAAGCAAATACGCAAGTCAGTTACGTAAGGATGGATAAATCAATGAAAGAAGTGAAGAAAGAAAACGGAGCAAGTGAGGAGAACCGAGGAGTGTTGCGTGAGATGACCATGGGTGGACCAAGGCACGCCGCGGAGTCATCAACAACAGACACAAACCAACACCAAGCACAACACAATACAACAATCCATGCAGAACTGGTAACGTGGGACAACGTTGCAGGGCTACGGCGGTGGCCGATGGTGGGGGTGGGGTGGTGGCTGCGGCTGATGCGTGGCATTGTGAGGAGCAGGGGGTGGTGCCGCGTGCATGCCAGGGTGGTGGTGGCTGGCGCCCACGGTTGCCGGCGTGTTGGCGTCGTCCATGCACGCGTACGTGGCGTCATCTGTCACCACATCGACGCTTCGCGAGCGCGGCAGGGGCGGTGCGCGCGGCAGGGACGGCGCAGACGGGTCAGCGGGGCGCGGTGGTAACGCAGGCTGCCGTGCCTCCGTTGCTGGCACGCCCATGGTGAACGAAACGGACCTCGACTCCTTGGTGTCCACGCTGGCGGCCAGTACAGCGTGGCCGTTCCGCGGCAGTGGGTCTCCAAACGACTGGCTGCGGCGACTGGAGAGCGGCGGGGGCGGCTGCAGTGGCGGGCGGCGGGGCTCATATCCACGGAACCTGACGCCGCCAGGGAGCGGCACGCCACGGTAATGATCCACAAGCTCCTGGATTGTGGCAAAGGTGTCATTCTCCCCAACCGTCAGGCGGCCCGTTGGCTGTCAGAATGAGAAGGGGGGGGGAGGTGGGGTATGCGGGTGAGAATGCGCGCGCGCGCGCGTGTGTTGGGTGTTGGGGTGTGCGTGTGTGCGTGTGTGCGTGTGTGCGTGCGTGTGTGTTGGGTGTTGGGGCGTTGGTGAGTTGTGTGTATGCGCGTGCGTGCGTGTGCGTGTTGAGTTGTGTGTGTGTGTGTGTGTGTGTGTGTGTGTGTGTGTGTGTGTG